GAATCTACAGAGATGATCCTGGGCCATTTCTTGGCCCAAACAGACCCCTCTTTTCGAAACAATCTCTGGGGGTACTTTTTTGTGCGCCTCCGCCTGGCGGACTTTGAATTGGGACACTGCACCCCTGAGGTCTCATCTCGGTCCATCTTTCCCCCCCTGGCATTTTTATTCGGGATGTTATTGTGTTAGGCCTTTACGTTTACATCGAGTTTGCATCGTAGGCGCTGTGTACTCATGTTAACGGTACTTTTAGTAACCTTTTTCGGAGTGTGATAACCTTGTTCTTTTTAATCCATGCATTCGTTAAAGTTTTGTATTAATTTTCTAAATGTTTTCCTGAAATTTTTAAACAGCGATTATGAAGAATTCATCAGCCTCTTATCCAAATTAATAAAGACATAACCAATTGGAGAGACTGAAGTCAATGTTCGCCATTTGCTGTTGAATAATTTACATTATAAACGGGTAATACGCCTTCAAATTCCAGTCGATTTATGGATTTCAGAGGTCTCAAATATCAAATCAGTCTATCCCACACGGCTACAGTAATGTTAATGTTTCCCCGTATCCCCCATGTCGTAAACATGGTGGCTTTTATGTTCGTAGATTCACATAAATTCCATAGATAACAAACTCAATCGATAAAAATCTGTCAATGTTAATAGACCGATCAGATGTACAAAATTGTGTAACATTTAGTGGCGCTCACGGTTTAATTTGTTGCGCCCACCAACGGTTTGTTTGATTTGGTGCCTACCTACCTGCTGCTTGTTAACATTGTCAGCAGCAGCCATTGAAAGGAACCAATAACGATATGACCCAGAAGTCAATAAACACACCTGTGTGCCCGAGGACTTCTCCACTTGTGCCATGGTTACGGTGAGGGGATCTCACAACGATGGTTCCAAGCGAATAATTGCATTATGGTGAATTAACCCAATCAAGGATACACTGGATTTGACAGCAGGGGTACCAAAAATCTGCAGGTAGTCTAGTGGTCTAAGAGGTGGTGAAACAGAGAATGAGATCGCAAAAAGCGAAAGAAATCGGCCTTTAATTCGGGACATGGGCGTCGCCAAGATTCTTGTGGTTTTTTCGGGAAGGTGGTAGGGGGGGCAAAGCACCCAGAAGCAGAAAATTGACAATCCATAAACTGTGCAAAGGAGTCATTTTCAAATTATTTTGAAGCAAATTATCGTTTTCCAATCCCTTTCATCCTTTGCATTTTTTTGCTTTTGCCATTTAACGTTTACCTTTTCTCCTGCTTCTAGCATGGGGGGGGGGGGGAGTAAGCGCCCTCTTGCCCCTGCGACGCCCATGATTCAGGAGGTTATTAAAATCAGTTCAATGATTAACTTTAGATTCTGCGTAGATACTGCTGTGCATTTAAAACACAATTGGCGGACATTAAACATCAACTAGTACTCGATGGATATACATTGAGTATTGTAATTGCTGGAATGAGGATATCAGATATAACTTGATCAACATCTTCAACATTGCCTGGCAAATTTGATGCGGGCTATTTCCGTCAGGCGCACATCCGTCATTCGAATAGCTTTTTGTTTGCCGAGAAATTATAGAAAAAAATAAGTTGAAGTTGTTCGATAGATGCAAAATGAGAAAAGGAGAGGTTGACGTAGGAGGGTATACCTTGGGTGAAGAGGTGGACATGCTGGCACTAATTGTTTCACGAAAAGGGAAATAACCGGAGACATAATTACCCAAAAAGAAAATGAAAGTTGAGTACCGTTATTCGGGTACATCAGACGAGTGGTAATCAACTCAATTATCAACTGCACTTCGTTTTTGCCATCACTTGAAAGGAATTTCCCCTCAAACTGTGGGCATTTGATACCTCGACTGACGCTGGGCAGGACTTATCGTCCATTTTATTTGTAACTTTTATTCGATTTTAGAGTGTACGAAAAAGGTCCGATATTTTTCTTCCAAAGCACTGTATTCCCTCAAAAAGAAATGTAAGACTAATTTCATGAATGCCGAATTATTAAGAATTTGCAAAATAAAAACCAATCAACTGATGAAAAAGTATGTTTACTTTGGAAAATCATATCACAAATGTTATCTCAGCAGTGACGCTAACTCAAGTGCTCTTGAAGGAACAAGACGTAATGCGTCCAAATTGAGGTTCAAGAGGGCGACATTACGTGCGCTTGACCTAGACTGGCCGATTCAGGGTTGGGTCAGGAAGAGTATACAAGGTCCTGGCGAAATGAGACCGTGTCACCCTGTCATTGGAAACGCGTAGAGGTTAAAAGGGTCTGGTTCAGCAGGTAATTTTATAAACCCGATGTCATCTACACAGGACCACAGCACACCGACACAGACACCCCCGGTCTTGTTTCTGTGCGAAGTTATCCCTCCGACTACAATGAGACATTCCGACCAGAAATCACGGCGCGTCGTATTGCAGACCCACTCGAAAATAAAATCCACCTCCAAACTTTGCCCAGCGAGTCGCTATATGCTATTGCACTGGTTCGAAACGCGGCAACTTAATAAACTGTCTGGTACGGTGTGTTTGGGGGTGATTTTTATCAATTTTATGGTCGTTTATGACAATATTGCCAAGCATCCACAGGGCCAAGTGTTCAGCAACAGTAAACGGCAATCGCTGGGGCTGAATCAGGGATGATCTAATAAGGGTCTGGTGCTTTCGGTCAACGTGGATCGTATGCATGATACACACACACCAACAGAGCACCATGCTCCCTCACCAGAGATCCTCATCGACCCCGAAGGAAGTGCTGGTGCACAACACGGCCGAGCAAGAGCAGTATCGCAAACGGACCGTGGCAATACAGCGCGAACTCAGAGCAATGGCTGTCTCGCTCAGCGTCAACCGACGCCGGTTCCTGAGGAGGCGGGCCGACCTTCTCCGGCGATCGACTTCGCTCGACGGCGAGCCGTCAGCGGCCGTGACGGAGCAGCGAAAAGCCGACGAAGTCCGCGGGAATGCCGCGGTCAGGGCTCTCTCCGCCGTGCTGGAGAGACCGTGGGACGAGGGCGCCGAATTCGACCCAGGCCGTCAAGGGCAAAGCGGGACGAATTTGGACCGACACGAGAGCAGCGAACGGCAACCGCCAGACACTGCTGGGGAGACAGTCAATCAGACCGGCCAATCTAGCGGTGAAAGATCCCCTAAAAACAGTGTCGTAAAATACAGGCAAGAAGTGCAGGAGGCCGTCGTGGAGTCCGTAACAGAAACTGCGAGCCGAAAAGTTTCCTCGGAGGAAAAGGTGCGGATGAAATACACCCGAGAAAGTAGCGTACCGGGAGCCCTTCATCTAGACGACACTGGGAAATCTGTTTTGAACAGAAGAAATATGAATCGCAGCCCGTATGCAAGGCTTAGGTCTGAGTCCCTGTCAATGACAGTCACACCTCGACAGTCGGACGACGAAACAAGGAATGAATCATCAGTCATATCACGACGGATGCGAGGCATGACGGTGGGCGCCACGGAGCAGCTCAACCTGTCCCGTCTTCGGCAGATCCGCGACGTGCGTGTCGGGTCCGACTCCCTGGACGAGGAGCAGAAATATATCGAGAAAACCCACCGGCGCATCAGGGACTTCCTGGACCGCACCAGCTCCGAGTCGGTCGTCAGCGACGCCTCTGACCTAGCCAGCGAGTCGGGCTCGGACGTTTTTGCCCGGCCACCCCCGGACCGGCGACGCACCGTGAGCCGCGTCTACGCCCTAGAGCACTCTCCTCGGCTTCGAAAGCGCAGCGTTCCCGCCAGGTTCGCCGACGCCGTCGTCGAGGAAGAAAACGATTCCAAGGACAAACTGAGACTTCCTCCTCTGTCCTTGCCGCCGGTTCATTCCAACGTCCCGCTGAAGCTCCGGCACAGGAATTACAGTAAGCGTGGGAATCACTACAAAGAAAGCACTCGCATCTGGACGGCCGAGGAGTGGGAAGACTTAAAGCATTGCAGATACCTGCGCAACAAATCCATCCCTTGATATGATAAAAGAAAGAGACGCGATAACGAATCTGCATTTCATCGGGCATTATACTTCATGCATTATTTGAACTTTTTCATTTAATTTTCACCGGCTTGCACCGTATCTCAGTAATTCAATTTTTAATCGGGCAAGCAATGATTATATGAGGTTTGAAATTGTTCTATCTCGACACAGCAAGACCCCCCATTATCAAAATTGATCGTAAAACATTAACTAAGACGTTCTACATTCGACGGGGTCTCAACTCAGTTTTATCTACACAAAACGAGGAGCCCATAAGGAATCCCAAATCCTTCTGATTAGACTTTGCACAACTAGTCGTCACATTATTTTTGTCTGATTTGTGTCTAAACCTGCAAAGTGTGCACATTGTGGATTGTATAGGCTTTTGTATAAAGCCTCTTGAACTAACAGTTACTCTTGAAATTAAGTTTCAGTGCCAACAATTGCAATGTATACCGGTAAGCAATGAAGCAACCTTTAACCTCACAGACTGAATGTCAGTGACACATACAGTGTATATATGGCTTAACGACCCGGCCAAAATGAGCTAATTTAATATAAAACAAAACATCAAATTGCAGTACAAAATAATAATCAAACGCTAAAGTATTTTCCATGTTTGGTGTCGCTTTGTTGGAAAACTAAACCCTGAATATTGGTTCACCTCTGGTTGTTACAAAGAAAAGAAGCATAACCACAATAGATTCGGTAATGCAAGACAGCCTGGAGCCCTTGAACAGCCCTTGACGTACAAGTGAATTTCTGAATCCCGTATCTCGTGCCGAAGTTGCTCCATGCTGAATTCGAAAAAAAAAAAGCATACGCAGCAAGGTATGAGATGGAGAGAACCCCCCCTGCTTTGTGTTGGTTATTGTCTCACAGGAAT